AAGTAGAGATGATTTTCGCGTATACGTGACGAATGTACATTAGGTAAGATGATTTTATACACGTTTTACGTAATAAAGAGATAAAGATCCAAGGAATTTATTCACAAATCAATATACTGCGCTCTTATTCTTTGAGAGATCTAATGAAATCTAACGTAGTAAGTTGTCGCTCGAGTTGTCGCAGTGCTTCGAATGATAGAGCCTAATTGGACAAAATTATCTTTTTCCGATTTTATATGGAGATTTAATTTTTAGAGAACAGCATTGCTTTTTATTACAATTTCGTTAAAAATGTATACAACTATTTTATATAAAAATTACCATTGCATTTAATTAATACAAAATAAAAAAGAAAAATAAAACGTGTAATGTAACTTAAAATAGAACAAAATTAAATACTTAAATAAAAATGAAAAGAATAAAATTACACTTTTTTAAAATATAAACTTACATAATAATACTTAAATATACTTACAATTAAAAATATGCAAGTTTTATTTGAATCTGAATCCGATGACTTGCTTAAAGAAAGCGAGATACATGAATTGCACAATTTGACAAATTAATAAGAAAGATGGTCGAATCTATTCTATCTACCTAAATGCAAAACGTGACAATCTCCAAGTCATTGCTCACTCTCAAAGATCGTACTCTTAACTAACCGCGCAAAAGAATCTGACAGACGTGGCAAAAAAGGTTGTTGTTAGCAGGCAGTTAACCTCGAGCGCGAAGAATTAAAATTGAATTAAACGCTCTTTTCGACTCGAATTTTCCATTCCTCGTTGAAACTTTTACACGAGCTGAAATTAATCATCGCTCGCGTTAAATATCTCGCGTTTAAAAATTTTCTTTCATCGCCCACGCGACGAGAGACGGGTCACACCCATTTAATTTCACGGCCTCCTCCTCTTCCCTTCGTCTTCCCTCCGAGGGTTTCTCCCGCTTTGGCATCGTGGCAATCGCCTTTCCTCCTTATTCGGCCACCTCCGCCTCGCGCTTCCTTCGTTAGTCCTTCTCGTTAGTCCGCCATTTATATCCTTCGTTCAGGAGGAGAAAGGTGAACCCTTGGCGCGTCAAAATCCCTTCCAGAGAAGAAAGAATGGTCAATTGCGTCAACTTGGTCTTGGAGGCGGATTGTTTCCCGATCGGTTACGCTCTAATTGGGGAAGCGCAATTAGCGGCGAGTAAATAAGCCGGGTGTCTCTAATTAATTCTTGGCGGCTCGTTATCGGCCATGGATGCCCATTTTACGCGCCCTCTGCTTTTTAAGTGAATTTCGATTTTGGTTGAATTCGAGTCAAGATGTTGGAAATCGAAAGAGATCAACGACGATGTTTTTTCGATGGATGTGCTAATCGAAAGCACACGAAAGAGAGAAAAGTAGAGTTGTAGAAGTCGTTTAAGTTGCTTTTCTAATAGAGATCAATATATTTTTCGATGTAACGATAGTACACGATGAAAGGCGTGCTAATCGAAAGATTAAAGTCGAAGAAATCTTGTTATGAGGAAATTGTAGATATAGAAATCATACGATTTTTAATGTCACTGTAAAGGCAAATTTAATCGAAAACAATTAAGAAAAACAGTTAAAGAATGTTTCATGAAGAAATTAAATCGTAGATATAGAAATCATTCGAACTGCTTTTCGATATTGTAATGAAAGACGGATCGAAAGATTATCAAAAAAAGCCCTCGAGGAAACTAAACGAAGTAAAGTATAGAAATCACTTAAACTTTTCGAGATTAACGCTGCTTTTGTTGTCATAATACCACGATGGAAGGCGTGCTAATCGAAAGATCGTCAAAGAAGGAAATCGTTACAAACAAAATAGATGTAAAAAATCATTCGATTTTTAATGTCACGGTAAAGGTTTAATCGAAAACACGTCAAAGAAATTTCACGAAGAAATTAAATCGTAGATATAGAAATCATTGAATGCGGTTTTCGATATTATACAATGGAAAGCATGCTAATCGAAAGATCGTCAAAGAAGTTACAAAGAAACTAAATGGATCATTCGATTTTTAATGTCACGATAAAAGCAGATTTAATCGAAAACACGTCAAAGAAATTTCACGAAGAAATTAAATCGTAGAAATCATTCAATACGATTTTCGAGTATCGAGATACTACACGATGGAAGGCGCGTTAATCGAAAGATCGTCAAAGAAGTTACAAAGAAACTAAATAGATGTAAAAATCATTCGAATTTTAACGGTACCACGATAAAGGCAGGTTTAATCGAAAATACATGGAAGAAATTTCATGAGGAAACTAAACGATAGGTATAAAAATCATTCAAGCTTTTTCATGTCATAAAAACGTGCTAAAAGATTATCAAAGAAAATTTTCGAGGAAACGATAGATATAAAAATCATTCGAGCCGCTCTTTAATGTCACGATATCGCTATATATAGACGTGTTAATTGAAAGAAATTTCACAAAGAAACTAAATGATATACATGTATACATATAAATTATTCAAACTTCGCTATACCACACCATATATTATAAATAGAGTTTATATATAGGAATTTATGAATATTACGAACACGAGTTAAGTTGAAATAATAACATGTGATATCATTTGTGGATAAAAGATAATTTAAAATAAAAGATATTATATGAAAAGATACTAAATAATATGTAAATGAAATTACATATTTGCTTATGAATAATTTTTAAATAATTAATAATAATAAATGTAAACATGTATAAAAAATCATAAAAAATATTGTTAAAGCGTTATAATCTACTTTATTCTTACATAAAAAAAAATTTACAAAAACTACATTTTTTGCAATTAATAATTATAAATAAACATTTTTTAAAAAATATCTAAGTATTATTCTTCGCTACACCACTGATGTGAGTGGTAATCGAAAGCGCGGCAAAGAAATTTCACGAAGGAGCCAAACTATGGGGCGTAGAAAGAGGTCGAGCCGTGACGAAGATGGCACCGACCGATTTCGTGCACGCGACCAATATAAGGAAAAAAGGGTTATCGGAGCGGAAAAGGGATGGAACGAAGGGAGAGAGCGATCGATCGAACGAACGCCGCGTTCCTTGACGAGGCGAAAGGACGATGCCTCCTCGTACCAACTCGTACCGCTTTTTCTTCCAATCCTTTTGAACAAGTTACTTCCGGATCCCAAGTCCTTCACCGTCCCGCATTATCCATTCAATTTCTTGATTTTTCACTTGCTAGTAATTCGACAATATCTTTTATAAACTCTCAAAGTTTTCGTCCCCCAATCTCAGAAATTCGCGTGAAGAAGTTACTTCCGGATTTTTCGATCGTAAGTTCTTTTTTGTCACATATTATTCAGTTTGTTGATACCTTTCACTTTACGCTTGTTTTAATTAGAATAAAGCCTCAAAGTTTTCGATCGTAAATCCTTTTCCATCATATATTCAATTTTTTGACACTTTTCACTTGCTAGTAATTCGACAGTATCTTTTATAAAACGTACTCTCAAAGTTTTCGTCCTCCGTGACCAATCTCAGAAATTCGCGTGAAGAAGTTACTTCCGGGCTCTTCAATCATAAGCTCTTTTCCACCATATATTGTTCAATTTTTTGACAGTTTCGCTTGCTCGTAATTCGACTGTACTTGTATTACCTTTACGCTTGTTTTAATTACAATAAACTCTCAAAGTTTTCGTCCCTCGTATGTGTCCAACTTCAGAAATTCGCGTGAAGAAGTTACTTCCGGTTTCTTCGTTCTTTTCTGCTGCGTATTATCCATTTCGTTCAATTTTTCGACAATTTTTCTTGCTCGTAATTCGAGAATACCTTTTACCTCTGCTTCTTTTTAATTACAATAAAGTCTCAAAATTTTCTTTACA